AACTGTGCGTGAAAAAACCCAAACAGGCACGAAATCTGAAAAGCTTTGCTGTCTCTATTCCCTGCAGAAGTAAAATGAGGCAAAAGCACTTAGGGAAATACACCCAGGAGGATCTTTTGAGAGTAAAGCCGTGTTCCTGCACTGTTTTAGAAATGACAGAATTGTGTCCAGCTATTCCTCAACCACCAACCAGCAGCTTAGGCAAGAGCAAGCACTCCCAAAAATCCATCCTCCATGTCCAGAGGAAGATCCTGGGAGATCCCATCTTGGGCTCCTCTCAAAAACCCAGAAGGGTTTCTGTTTTCTGGCACCAAGGTGGGCAAAGGTTGGATCTGAATCCCCTTCTGAGGCACTGCCCAGGGAAGGGGCACATTCCCAACCCTGCCAGAGCTCCCAGGGATGCTCAGGGGGGATTGTGCAGGGCCAGGGGTTGGATCAATGACCCCTGAGGGTCCCTCACCCTCAGGATATTCCACATTTTCCCACCATTCCTTTTCCCCTCTAATAAAGGAGCATCTCCAGGCTCTGTGAGGCTGGATCCCCTGCAAGCTGTCCCTGCCAGCTGTCCCTCTGCTCCCTGTGTCACCTGCCCTGCCACAGCTGCAGCCAACGTGAACCAGGCCAGCCTTCATCCCCAGATCCCCAACCAGGGATATTTAGCAGGCTAAGCTGAACTAAAACATCATTCAATGAAACAGCTCCATAATTCTCATCGGGATTAGAGTCATCAGCTGAAAATCCATTAAGAGAAATAGATTAAGCAATAAGGCAATGACCAGCCTTGTCTTTACTCTCCCTCTTGAACGTAAACAACCCCTGGAACAAAACCTGCATGGAGAGGCAGCAGCTCCTTCCTCATCCATCAGCAGCAGCTGCATCCCAAAAACCACCTTCAAACCAAGCCTTTTTGTCTAAGGGTCCTACAGAAAAGTATCTGCAACTACAACAAAGCTTTGTTTGGACAGGAATACAACCCTGAGCTGCTTCCTCCTCTCCAGAAAAGGTTAAATCAACATCTCCTGCTTGACCCAAATGCAGAGGGCTCAGCAATTATTTGGCAACAAATGCAATCAGTCAGTGTCTACATTTTCCCTCGTTATCAAGAGAATAAACCAGATGTCCTCTTCACCTGCACTTGTAAGGCTCCAGGATTGTTAAGACTCTATTTTTACCCCAGCAAGGGAAATCCTCAATCAGAATATCCTGAAGTGGCTCCCGTGTTTACCCAAAAGGACACGAAGTGGGGCTGAGGAGCTGCTGCAACACCTCCCCAGCAGTGAGCACAGCAAAACCACCCCAGAGCTGGGCAGGAGAGCCAGGGGCCAGCAGGGAACAAACAGGACCCAAATTCCTGATCCAGGCTGGCCCTGAAGATGCTCTGAATGTTGGTGAAACCCCAGAGAATCCCCAGGTGGCCACCTGAGCTCGGGCAGTGCCAGGGGACACCCAGGGTGTTTACAGGGAATTCAGAGATTCCCAGACTGGTTTGGGTTGGGAGGGACCTTGGAGCTCATCCAGAGCCACCCCAGCCATGGCAGGGACATCTCCACTGTCCCACAGGGATCCAGGGACAGCCACAGCTGCTCTGGGAATTCCATCCCAGCCAGCAATTCCTTCCCAATACCCCAAAATCCAAGCAGTGGGAGCCATTCCCTGTGTCCTGCCCAAAGTCCCTCTCCAGCTTTTCAGTGTCTGAAGGCAGAAAACTGCTGCTCCACACCGTTCAAAATGCAAAATAACACCAATCCTGTCCTGGAACACTCAAACACAAAGGTGTCACTAATGATCCAAGGAATTCCAGCGAGGTTCCTCAGTATCCCCCAACTCCAAGCAGGCCCAGAGCAGCTGCAATCATTCCTGTCCTTTCTCCCCTGTTATAAATAACATTTCCCGTGGTCAGGAACCCTCCAGCAGCAGCTCTGCAGCGCTGCCTCCACCTGGGCAAACCTCAGGCCAGGGCTCTCACACCCCCAATCCTGCTGGGAGTCTTGGATTCTGTGCTCATCTAAACCACAGAGTTCTGCTGGGAAAAAAATCCATCTGGATTTTTTCAGTCCAGTCCAGTCCATCTGGACTGGAAGTTATGCTGGGCTTTATGGATTATAAAGAAACCCGAGCTTTGGAAAGCCAGGATGGTTTCCTGAAGCAGACACTGAGCTGGTGTTGGGTGTGACAGACCCAATTCCTGGTGTTTCAGAGCAGGAAACACCGCAGGGAGACGCCAAGAGAAGGCAGAAGGTGGAGGCAGTGGTGAAAAACATCACCCATGGCAGTGACACTGCTGGAGCTGATTTATTTGGGTACAAATAAATGCCAATAAATCACTCAACTGTGAACTGACAAACCTGTCCTTAATGCTGGGAACAGCATTATCCTGGAATATTCACTTTTCCAGGGAAGATTTGGTTCCCTGAGGAACTGAGGGAGCTGGGCAGGTCCTGGGGCTCAGCTCTGACCAGGACTGATCTGCAGCCAGCATCTCCTGGATGAAAATACCTGCCCTGGGCACGCCAGGCTTTGACCTGGAGCACCTTCAGGGCAGTTTCTAAAAGGAAATGAAACTAAAATGAAACTAAAATGAAACTAAAATGAAACTAAATGTGCCATCACCAGATGGGCTTTAAGGTCCCTTCCAGTCAAACCATCCTGGGATTCTGTGATCACACCAACACCCACCTGTCTGCAAGCAAGAAAAGTTTTATGTACAATTCTACAAATTCTTTTCTATTAAAAGAGCACAAGAGGAGCAGATATTCAGCAAAAAATCCCACAATCCTGGGTGGGCAGAACCAAGGAAATCTGCTTTAAGTGGAGATACCATATAAATGATTTGGATCAGGTTGAACAATTCTTTACAGTGTTTAGATTTAGATTTAACATCAGCTCCACCTTCCAGGCAGCACTGCCTGCTGGGAGAGTTATTTTTACTAT